ATGAGTTGTGTTAGTTGTTGAGTTGATAATTTAGTATTTTTGAAAAAGTATTTGGGAGTTAGATGTATTAGTTATTTTGCCAATATGCCAATCTGATAATGAAATGTAGAGTGACTATATGTTTTTCAAAGCTATAAAATAGAATGTACTAAAATTTAATATATTTAAAAATAGATTAATAGATTAGAGTTGAAGGCTTGGCCATATGTGTAATATAGAATGATGGAAAATTTGATTTGAGAGTATTTTAAACTATTTTGGAATAGGATCTTATAAAGATTTAAGAGTTCTAAGATATATGTTTTTCTAAAGAAGTAGATTACTATTGTTAGCTATAAGTAGTTGTTCTAAAAAGAAAATTTTATTGTTTTTAAAACTTAAAGTTATTGAGTTGTTAAGAGATGTAATGAAGTTATAGATATTGTTTATTTGGTTGATTTGTTTTTTTTTTTTTTTTTTTTTTTTTTTTAAAGTTAAAGTTCCTATCTTGGGAGATGCAATGTTTTTATTTAAGTATATTAGGACATGGCATGCCACCAGGGGCTTACCTTACAATGAAGGTTACAATTAGCCACATGTGCACTTTTGGTATCTAATTTAAGTAGTCTGCTTATACATTACTATATAAGTTCTACACTAGTTGTCATACCTGCAAGCCAACTAAAAGTCTTGCCTATTTAAACCTTCTGCATATGCAGTCCTCTTTGTATTATAGGAACATCTCAAGGCACCACCCATCCAAGTTCCTGATGCTTATCAGTATTCTTAGAACTACTTTATCCTTGATAGGAAACTTACTAGAGCCTTTATGTCCTATACATATAGATCTAGTTTTATGCAATATGCCTTAACACTTGCAGTCGCAGAGGTTACCTGTTTAACTGCTACATTATACTATTTCTACCCTTGTAAAGTTCAATAGAACCCTAGTACCTATCTTTTAGGCATCTTCTTCATCATTCCCTACTAGCCACAACTCAGAACCATCGGTCTCATTTCAGACTACCAATCCAGATGGCCTGGTATGATATTTTTTATGCCTATTTTTTTAAAATTATTATGCCTAGATATAAATCGTCATATTAATTGTAGCATGGAGACTTTCAACAGAAGGAACCATCAATGTTACATGACTGATCCTTCACCCGGTATGCAGTATATAAAAAAATATTTTACAATACCAGATCATTCAGATAGTACATGTTATGATTATAATCCCACACTATTTTTATTATAATAAAATGGTGAGGGATTATAATCATAACATGTACTAGTGGAATGATCTGGTATTATAAAATAATTTATTTATATGCTGCACACTAGGTGAAGGATCAGTCATGTAACATCGACAGTTCCTCCTGTTGGGACTTTCTCAAATTTCGGAAAAGTATGGGTTGATCACATGATAGTTGGCCAATTAACATCAACTTTTTCATGCATAGCTTAGCGCATGTTTAAAGATCATCTATTTTACTGTACATAGTGAAATCCCAAGCTAAGAACTATAGCTTAGGCTATACAAACCGATATTTTTGGTTCTCTTAACCCAGCCAGGTCAACAACTTCAATCAAAATTTTTTAATATTTAGATGCAATAAAAGATTAACCAAGTAGAATCGACTATATATATACAGTTGAACAAATTGCACATAAGCAATATACCAGGAACAGAGTGATGAAATCATGAAGTAATATGGGATCCATCCACAAAATCTTAAGCTTGATTGGTCCATGTGATTTATTGGTTATTTTTTATACATGAATTCATCACGCATATAGATCAACATAGCGATAATAAAAGCAAGAATTTTAGACAGTAACCTGGTGCAAATTGATTTGCGTATTTACCTGTTTTTTTTTGTAGGATTTTTTATTAGGTTGATGGGATGATAATTGCTGATTATCAAAGATGCTAATCGTCAAAATGGGTAAAAGGTAAATAATATTTTTTTTACTCTTATGTATTTTTACTGATTATTGTTACAATTCATATAACTTGAATGATTAAAATTTAAAATCTTGTTTATTATTATTATGTAAGAAAACTTGGTGTATATATATTATATGATGCAAAAACTGATGATTAATTACTTTGTACAGTAACATCTTAAAATTATGGTCAATGAATTTAGTTCTAAGAGCTATGAAGGTTATAAAAAATGTGCAAAATGCAAGTGATATAACACATTTTGTAATTCATGTCAAACATGTGACCATCAGAAAGATAGTACAAGGATGGACAAATAGGAATAAAAATGTTAATGATTGTATTAAAGAATGGTGATGGATGTTTAGCAATATGGTTAGATAGAATATGATATCTAAATTTTAAATATGATTATAATAAACATATAAATGAATATACACAGTCACGCACACTGGCAAGCATAATTATACTTAAAATATTGACAGGAACAGCAGATATTCAAAATATTTTAAAAGAAGTAAGTTCATATCATTTTATTATTGTTATGTGTTGTTTATTTAATTAATATATTTAATTATACTTATACTTAATTTATACTTATACTGTCAACTATGGATATAACGGAAATTTGGGCTGACCAAAAAATTCTGTTATATAGCTTATTCGTTATATGCACTTATATATCTATATACCTATATAACAAAATTAATAACAGAGTTAGGCTGGATTCCATTATAATGGTTAAATATTGCATTCTTATTGGTTGCAACTTGTCGCATTATATTGAATTCATTATATAGATTGGAATTTTATAATAAAATCAGTATATGGGTTGGCAAAGAGTTCTATTATATGTAATATGACCTTTTTACTATTAAATATGTTATAACCATTATAAATTATATATTAAAAATTTGATACTTCAAATTTGATCCATTAAACTGGTGATTTTAGTATAAAGGTGTTTGTTATATCCATAGTTGACAGTAATTATACTTATATTGTTTATATACATATTTTATAAGTTTAAAAATTATGCAATTTGATAGTTAGTTAGAGTATATACCATGTATATGCATCTATGGATTAACTTAAAATACAATTATGAATGAATATATGTTAGTATTTAATGAATTTAGTTATAAAATATATAATTGGAATGGTATAACATATCATTAATTTAGTATTAAACATGCAATCTTAGAAGACAACACAGAGATAGACAAGTATGAATAAGCATTTATATATTACTAAAAATAAAGTAATAATAAATATTATTTCATTATGCTATAATAAAAAAATATATTGTATATAATAATTATTTATTAATTTTAATTTTAAATTTTATTTTATAATATAATATATATAATTTTTATTAAATTTTCAATTAAATATTTATTGTATAGTTGTCCATTGATTAATAGTATTAATAGTTGTTTGAAGTAGATTATCTATATTAATATTTTCTATTTCATTATTTTTATTATTTTCATTATCTAATTCATTATTATCATTTATATTATCATTTTTTAAAAAATCAAAAATATTATTATCATCATTATTACTTTCTAATTCTTTTTTAAATAAATTAACTTATTTAGTAATTTCTTTCTTATAATATTCTAAACAATAATAGCATGTTGAATTATAACAATTATCATGATAAGAATGTCTATAATTGTATACTTTTTCAGTATTAAATCTAATTGGAATATTACATTTATCACATTTATCTAATAAAGATAAATAAGATGTATGATAATCTGCTGATAAACATTTAATTTCTAATGTTTCATCTAAAGTTTTTATAAAAAATTTAATATTATTTTTGTTTTTAATTATTTTATTTTTTCCAAGATTTTGAAAAATTTGTTGAAAATAATCTAATAAAAATAGACTATTTTTTTTAATTAAATAATCTATTGTTTTTGTTTATATAGATAAACTTTTTTATTTTGAAAAATATTAAATAATTGATTATTATGTATATCAATTATATAAGATTGTTCTATAATATAATCTGCAGTACAATTTTAATTAATATTTGTCCTTAATTTACTATGAAAATTTTCAACAAAATAATCATTAAAATTAACTAAAGATTTTGATATAATTTTTATAAAGGATGATTGATTTGTTGCCAATAAAGATAATCTAATATAAATACTAAAGGTACTTTATTATAATTTTTTCTTTTTCATCTTAATGCAAATGTCCATAATCAAAATAAAGTATCAAAATATTGTTCAAAATGTCTAGATCAAAAAATAGTTGCATATATATCTAAAGTTGATGGTACTAAATTATCCAAAAGATCAATAATCATTCTATATTCTATATCATTACAATAATTACCAAATTTTAATAAAATATTTTGTAATATTTTTTGTCAACCTTTATGAATTAATTCAAGTAATAAATTAATTCTCCAAGGTTTTGGCTTTTTTACAAAATTTTTTTTTTCTCCAAATATATAATGAAAAATTTTTTTAAAAAATAAATAATGAATAAGAATAACTTGTTCATAAAAATTTAAAGAAATATGAAGAGGTCCTATAATTGGAATAAAATTACTAATATTTTTAGGAACTAATATATTATTATATTCTGGTATATTAACTATTTTATAATAATGTATTATAATTTTTCTAATAAAATATTGTCTTGGCCAATTACCAATTATAGATATTATATTATTTTGAAGATATAATTGAAATAATTCTATTATAGTAATCATTTTTAGTGCATTTAGATAATCTTCTATAGAATATAAATTTTGTTTTTTTATATTAATTATTTTAATATTTTTTATTGATCTTTTTTCTTTTCATTCAGCAATTGCATCATCATATATATGTAATATAAATAATTTAATTTGATCTTGATTTTCAAATTGAATATTTTTTATCCAATTTAATTTTTGTGCATTATAACTTATATCAAAGGCTCCTTTAATTTTAGTAAGTAAATATTGTCTAATAGAAACCTATTCAATTTTTTTCTGAATTAAAAAAAGAATAATTAGAATTTTCTAAATGATATATATTTGCTAAAATAAGTAATGTATTAATAATTAGTTTTGATACACATGGGCTATATGATTTATACTAGAAAGAGTTGTAGTATCTAGTTGATGTATTTCATGAATATTATAAAAATCATCAATATTAAAGCAATAAAAAACATTAGACTAAAAATAAATAAATTAATTATAATAATTAATAAATTTTATTATTAAAATATATTATATTAAAATTAAAAAATAACTTACATTTAAATCAAAATAATTATTAAGTTTAGATAAATAAGTATTTATTATATCTTTTTTATATCTTTGAAGAGTTTTTGAATAAACACTAAAACCAACATTTGATAAAGTCTTAATTCCTAAATTAGACATTTCTGAAGATTGTAAAAAAAGTTCAAGATCTAATTTAAAATTAGTTACAAACTTATTTCTTATTCTAACTAAAAGATAACAATATGCAACTACTTGTTTTTTTGCTTTTTCCTTAATTTTAATAAGTCTTTTTATTGGAATTAATGCATTCATCATTTCTTCAAAAAATCCTTTTAATTTTGGTTCTTTTAATTCAATTATTTGTTAAAATTGTTCAGGATCTAATATATATTCATTATTTTCTTTTTGATATTTTAATAAAATAGTAGTTAATAATTTTATTTGTTAAGAAAATGAATATTTTTGAACTTATAAAAAATATAAATTAATATTAAATTTATTAAAATTAAAATTAAATAATTAAATAATAAAATATAATTACCAGAATTATTTGTAATAATAGTTGTTAAATTATTATTATTTTGATCAGTTAAAGTTTTAATTTTTAAATCTTTTTGAATAATAAATTTAATTAATTGATTAAAATTTTCTTTATTAATTAAAACCATATTATTAGTAATATTAATTTCAATATTATCAATTTGTTGATTAATTTCATTTAAATTCTTAGCAGATTTAATTAATTCTTTTTTTTGAATTTCAATTAATTCTATTAAATTATTAGTTTTAGATTCATTAAATTCTATTAAATTATTAATTTTCATTAAATTTGTTGAAATATTAGATTCATATTTTTCTATTTCTATTAAATTTATTGAAGTATTAGTACTACTAATATTAATTAAATTATTAATTTCCATTAAATTTATAGTGCTTTCTGTTAAATTTACAGGTGTATTAGGTCTACTAGTTTCCATTAAATTTATAGTGCTTTCTGTTAAATTTGTAAATATAATAGGTCTACTAATTTCTATTAAATTTATAGTGCTTTCTGTTAAATTTGTAGGTGTAGTAGGTCTACTAATTTCTATTAAATTATCTAATTTGTTACTTCTATTAATTGTAAATATTTGATGTTGATAAGAATCTACAATTTTCATATAATAATCAGAACATAATTTATCATTTTCATAAATAAAATGATTTTAAAAATCTTTATCAGGACAATTATTAATTTTAAATTCAAGATCATTTGTAATATTTCTAATTTTTGTAATTTCTTTTAAGCAAATAAAACAATTTTAAATATTTTGTTGAAACATTTTTTTAAATTTTTTTTTAAAATTACAATCATATTATATATTTATAAAAATTTTATTTTCAAAATAGTTTTATTATTTATTATTATTATTATTATATAATAAATTTTAATATGTATTACAAATATAGTTTCATTATACAATGAACAATTATTACATATTACAGTATTACAAATATAGTTTCATTATATAATGAACAATTATTACATATTACAGTATTACAAATATAGTTTCATTATACAATGAACAATTATTACATATTACAGTATTACAAATATAGTTTCATTATACAATGAACAATTATTACATATTACAATATTACAAATTACAGTATTACAAATATAGTTTCATTATACAATAAACAATTATTACATATTATAGTATTACATAATAAACAATTTATTATTATATAATAAATAATTTTACCATTGTATAATAAATAATTTTACTATTACATATAGAGCTTAGATCCAGTTATCTGTTGAATACAGATTTAATAGTAAAATCCATCAAATATTCATCAAATTTAATATGAAAATGGATGATCAGATCCAAACTCTAATTATGTAAATAAATAATTTTAATATTATATAATGAACGATTTTAATATCAGATATGTTATGTAACAAATGATTTCATTGTTGCGTAATAAACAATTTTACAGTATCATTATTTTTAGATCACACACTCTAAACTTTGTCAAAATCATACTAAAAATTGGAATCAACAAAATCAGAGTAATATTTTATTTATAATGCCATATATAATTAATGCACACTAACTCCAAGAGATTACCTAAATCAACCAATAACCAATACGTATGATTCTGAATTATTAAAATTAGTTGAGTAGTTTGCAGCATTATTTGCATTTTTTTATTCATAACTAGATTATTACAAAATATAAGTCAAAAAGAAACTAGCAAGAATTAGATACATTATGACACATTTGCGAAAAATTTGACTATGAATATGTAAATATAGATCTTACTAAGATAATTAATATTCTCCAAATTATGATGCATCATTTTAATAAATTCCTATGTCTAATAAGATGCATCGGAGTGGGAAGATGAGTTAGGCTGTGAGAAAAATGGTTTAGACTATGGAAAAAATAGGTTAGACTCGTTATCGATACAACTCAGAGGTCTAAAAAAGCTTTTTTGGGTTTAATATTGATTGATTAATATATAATTTGGTAACCAAAATTCAAATTTGGAGACCACATGATTGGATTTGGTGACTAATTGTTTGCTTAATTTCACTTATGCGACATAATGAAGAGTATTAAAACAATGGATTTGATGACTAAAAGTCCTTTAGCTTATTTATCTATTATAGATATTATAAAGATACTCATCTTGTCTGAAATGATGACAGTTAAATGTGTTAAATGTGAATATGAGTGCTGTACAGGAAAACCCTTTAAGTATCACATTTAATATAAATTAGTGCTACCAAAGGAAAACCTGTCATCAGGTTTTCAATTATATTTTGTATTGGATACAATCTGCGATTGATATAAATATAATTGCAAGCCTGATGACAGATTTCTCTAAACAATACTCAAACTATAATATTTAATCAACACTTATTATAAAGTCTAATACTTACAAGAGTTTAGCTTTTTTGCTTGTGGGTTCAACAGGTTCGACATTTTTTTCTACTAATTCAGGTTCGACAACTTTTCGAGGTACTTTCTGTCATTTAGCAGATATATATATATATTATTATCGTTACCAAAATCAAAACCCTATTGAATTATCCAAACAATCATTAAGTCAATTTTTTTTACAAGATGTTCCAAAAAGAATGAAAACAGCTGTAATAATGAAAAAAACCAAAAACAAGAAAATTGGAACTTATCTGTAGACCAGTTACAAATTTTCTTAAGAACCTGAAGCTCAACTTCCAGTGCCATTATCAATGCCATTCTAATGTTTCTGACAAAATACAAACTTGAAAAAAAAGAAGTTAGTAAAACCAAAGAGATAAACAAACCAAAAAAGAAGAGAAACTAGAACTAGTACTTATCATTATACTAGTTACAAGGTTTCTTCATCTAAAATCTCAAGTTCAGGCGAAATCTAGAAGAGAAAAAAAAGTTATAAAACTGAAAAAAAAAAAAAAAAAAAAACTAGAAACTGATTATTACCATCCAAGATCAAATCATTCCAGGTGTTATTTCACATTTCTAGTAAAGCAAAAAGAAAAAAAAGGTTAATAAAACCGAAATGAAAGAAAACAAAACTAGAAACTGGAACTTATTTGTAAACCAGTTCTCTAGGATCTAAGCACAAATGTTTACTGGTACTGCTGTACTGTACTTTAATAATTTCAATAAAATAGAATATCACTAAACTTTTACTGTTCATTAATTAAAAATCTTATAGTATTTTTATTCATAATAGACTCACCCTTTACAGCATGATGCAGTATGATGCAACTTGATTACTTTGTAGAGGCACTCACCACAAAGTTATTCACTTAGTAAAATATTTACATCAATACTTGTTTTTTTAAAGTTTGCCTATTTGTTAAATTTGTGATTTTACAATACTACACCATATAAATACTTGTGTAATGTTGATCCAGAATATATCAGATTCAAATGTCTCTCATGCTCAGAATTCCACCATGAGTTCTATATAAAACACTATTTGGGAAATCAGAAGCTGAAGAAATTGAAAATAGAGAAATGCTAATAAAAGGACTTATGAAGGTAAAAGTAGAAAAGAAACTCGAATGACTTTTAAGTAAGCAGGCAACACAGAAGT